CTGCAATCCCTTCTCATCCATTGTCCTCTAAGGATTTCGGGTTTACACGCACATGCGCCTGACATGAGTTTTAACCCATCAGGTCTGGGACTCGAACTGCGGTCAGCTGCATGGGAGTCCAGCAACGTAACCATGATGTCATCTGCTGGTCCCTTATTACTATTTTAAATTTTACAGAGCTCATGCAGAGAGACAAACAGAGAGGGAACCAGAGAGGGGGAAAGTAAGAAAGCAAGCCACCAGGTCTGGGACTCAAACCACGCTTGGCCACATGGGAGCCCAGCACCCTAACCACCATGCCACCTGCTGGTCCCAGCCTGGACTAGTTTTCAACCTGAGACTCACACTTCAGTGTGCCAGCCGGGACTCAGTTTCCTCTGGACTGCGTCTAACCAGTGCGCTGTGGGGCCAACCCTGTTTTTTTTCCCAGTCCCTGTGGGCCATGACTAAAGAGCCACCTGGATCTACATTCCTCATAGAGAGGTAAAAGACAATCGTGGCCCAAGGTTGCAGATGCTCTCAGGGGCTAAAGGTAGTTTTCAGCTGAGCGAACATATGCAGAATTCCAGTTATTGGTACCAGGGACCAGCAGTTGGTGTAATGGCTATGTCACTGGACTCTCACGTAGTCGACTGCAGTTCCAGTCCTGGACCCGGTGGCTTAGAACTCACGCCGGGCGCGTGCGCGTGCGTGCCCAAGATCCCGAGAGGAGAATGGAGGAGAAGGGATTGCTGCGTGACCATCCCCCATGGGGGGTAATTTCTTGCTTTCTGTCTCTCTATCTCTCTCTGTCGCTCTGGTGAGCACACAGGCCCTACAGCAAAAATCTCTCTAAAAAAATGTAAAAAAAAAGTTATTGGTACCAATGTGAACTCACCTGAAAGAGACAGACAGAAGGAAAGTGAAAAAAATCACCCCTGGGGGGATGGCTGTGCTGCAATCCCTTCTCCTCCATTCTCCTCTTGGGATTTAGGGCATTACGCCCAGCATAATTTTCAAGCTGCTGAGTCCAGAGCTCAAACCATGGTTGACCATGTGGAATCCAGTGCCTTAACCACTATGCCACCTGCTGGCCCCCAAATGCCTCCTTTGATGCTGTCCACTTTAGCGATGGGAAACTGCCTTAGAATCTTCCAGAAACAGGTCCCATGCAGTCTGGCCATGATATGATTCCTGCCAAGCACAAATTGTCTGTGTAATTTCTCTTGGCCTCTCAACTATTGTCAGGAAGAAAAAGAAAGAAAGAAAGAAAGAAAGAAAGAAAGAAAGAAAGAAAGAAAAGATTTATTAGTTAATACTTGGGAATAAAAGTCATTATTTTTGGCAGATGTCATGAAAAATTTAATTGGCTCGTTTTTGATAACCTCTGACCAGAGGCTAATTCATTCGCTTGTCAGGGATTATAGTCAGACAATAATTTATTCTGGAAAGTTTAGACATAAAATGAACTGCTTGAAAACCATGCTATACTCTACATGGTAGAGTTTTTTCTTCCTATAGGCAGGTTGGTTACTGACAATTTGTTTTCCTTTTTCTTTTTTTTTTTTTTAAGAATTATTTTGTATGTAACTTTCTTTCCTAGTAATTTGTAAAATTTGGCCCCCCCACACACACATACACAGAGAGAGAGAGAGAGAGAGAGAGCGTGCAAGCTGCCAGGTCCAGGACTCAAACTGCCATCAGCCTTGTGGGGATCCAGAGTCCTTAACCATCAAGCCACCTGCCAGCCCCCTCTTTTTTTTTTTTTTTAAGAATTATTTCTTTTATTTTGTTTATCATAATTGCTATTATTATTTTTTGAGAGGTTTTTGCTACAGGGCGCATGAGTTCACCAGACAGACAGAGAGAGACAGAGAGACAGAAAGCAAAAACTCACCCCCCAGGGGGGATGGCCACGCCACAATCCCTTGTCCTCCATTCTCCTCTCGGGATCTTGGGCACGCACGCACACGTGCCCGGCGTGAGTTTTAAGCACGCACGCACACGTGCCTGGCGTGAGTTTTAAGCCACCGGGGTCCTGGACGCGAACCGCGGTTGACTACGTGGGAGTCCAGTGACATAGCCATTATGCCAATTGCTGGTCCCATAATTGTTATTTTTAATTTGAACAGAGCAAGACAGAGAGAGAGTGCAACAGAAAGCAAAAAAGCAAGCCGTCAAGTCCAGGACTTGAACCATGGTCAGCCATATAGGAGCCCAGTGCCTTTAACCATCATGCCACCTGCCAGCCCCATGGTTACTGATAAGGTATATTCCCATAAAAAAAAGTTCCAAATTATCCAGGTTCAACAGTACAGAAATTTGGTAGTGAAATTGACGTTTCCTTGTGCGAACCGGAGAGAGGGTGGCTTAAGCAGTAATATGATACCTCACATTTCCAAAGTCACCATTCCATAGATGTTGATGACCATTCATTGACTCATCCATTTATCCTTTCAAGAGATGTTACTGAACCCTCACTGCACGTGAGCCTGTGTATTAGCATAGAGCGCAGTTGTCATTCGAACTGCATGGACACATGAAATCACACAGACCTGAAGTGGACTGCGTAGATGCAATTATATCAAACACCAGCAATACATTAACGTTTATTTATTGTGCCTCACTAGAAAAATCTTCAGGAGTTGTTCTAAGGTCTTTACAACACTAGTAAGTATTATTATTCCCATTCTTTTTTTTTTTTTTTGAGGCTTTTGCTGTAGGGCACATGTGCTCACCAGAGAGAGACAGAGAAACAGAAAGCAAGCAATCACCCCCCAGGGGGAATGGCCACACCACAATCCCTTCTCCTCCATTCTCCTCTCGGGATGTTGGGCATGCACGCACACATGCCTGATGTGAATTTTAAGCCATCGGGTCCAGGACTTGAACCACGGTCGACTACATGGGTGTCCAGCTACATAACCATTACGCCATCCACAGATCCCTGTCTTGTGACTTTCTTAAGAATGTGACCTGGGGGGGCAGTAGCTGACACAGTGGTTATATCACTGGACTCCCACATGACCAACCATGGTTTGGGTCCTGGACCAGGTGACTTCAAACTCATGCATGCATGCACACGTGTGTGCGTGTGCATGTACGAACCCAAGATCATCCCAGGAGAAGAATGGAAGAGAAGGGATTGTGGCATGGCCATCCTCCCTGGGAGTTGATTTCTCACTTTCCCTCTCACTGTCTGTTTCTCTCTCTCTCTCTCTCCCTGGTGAATGCATATACTCTAAGGCAAAAACCTTAAAAAAAAAAAAAGAAAAGAAAAAGAAAAACAGACCGTGCACCTGAATCATGAATAGCTCGAGACGCTGGACTCCGTGGCCCCTCATTTTCTGAGCATTCTTTACAGCCACAATATGCTCCCCCTTTCCCTTCCGGCCAGGATAGCAAGGTGTCAGTTTCCACACGGGGCAGACACGCCCTCCACGCTTGCATAAGGCATTACGGGACACAGAAACGGGTTAGGATCGGCTGAAGATAACGGGGACAGTATTCCCAACTGGACCGGTGAGAAACGTACTCATGTTGGAATCGTCACTTTGTAAGCGAGGTGACATATGTGACTGAATGGATAAAAGAAATGGGAATAAAAAAATATTAACATATTTTTAAAAAGACGAAGTAAAATGAATCCAGTGACTGTGAGGTCAACCTGCTCCCCTCCTCGGAATCCCACCCATTGGAGCTACCCAAGACTCCTTGCCTCTTCCTGCCCCAGCCATGAATTTTGACTTAAAACCACCCTGTGATCCCTTTGCACACTTATCCCAGCGGTTAAAAAATGATCTGAAAAGCCTCTTTGTTCCTAAGTGACAGCCAATCACAACCACTTAACTTCACTCAATCACAAACATCCCACCTTTTAAACTATGCTACTACGAACGAACTTCAAAATATAACCACCCTAAAGTGAACTTCAGAATATAGCCACTCTAAATTCTGTCCCTGCCTCATATGCCTTTACTTGCATTTTCACCCCTCCCATCCCGAACACAGTTCATTCTTTCTAGCACTTAAATACCACGCCACCACAGAACTACCCCAACTCACTTTAAAACTAATTTACAGACTCACATTAAAATGTACTCAAGGGGGACCAGCAGGTGACATAATAGTTATGTCACTGGACTCCCACGTGGTCAACTGCAATTCGAGTCCCAGACCTGGTGGCTTGAAACTCACTCTGGGCCCATGTGTGTGCATGAGTTTCCCTGAGAGGAGAATGGAGGAGAAAGGATTGTGGTATGGCCATTGCCCATGGGGGATGACTTCTCACTTTCTGTCTCTATGTCTCTCTCTCTGTCTGTGGGGTGAGCAGATACCAAAAAAAAAAAAAAAAAAAAAAAAAACAACAAAAAACAAAAACAAAAAAACCCAACAAACAAAAAAATCTGTCTTAAGGGAAAAAAAATGTTAAAAACAAAGGACTCAATGAAAACACCACTCAATGCAATCGACGAATTTTTTTTTTTTTTTTTTTAACAAGGGCAACTTGTATATTATGGCCCACTCCAGAAATCACTCTACCCCTGGCCCAAATGGAGACATTGGGGGTGCAGTAACCCAGTCAGTGTCCCTTGGGTAGGGGCTGGGGTGATGCTTTAATCCTACAATGCACAGCCCAGAGCTCAGCCCAGGGTCACGCCACCTGCAAATGCTCACACTGCCAGGCCCTAGAAAGCCTGCCCTCTACCCAGGGGAATTTAATATTCATTGGCAAGTCCGTGAGTAATTGCCAGACATCTTTAAATAGCCTTTCTTTTTTTTTTTTTTTTTTTCACTTGTGAATTTAATTGACAAATTGAAGGTCGCAGGAAGAGAAAGGAGAAGTAGGGAGGAGAGGTCTGAAAGCAGGAACACCTGGATGAAGTCGCGGTCTCCCGCAGCCCCGAGTGTCTCCAGACGCTAGTCAGGAGGTCGATTAGCACCTTCTGAGAGCAGCGAGAACCACGATTTGCATGTTCTTTTCCTTCCTGGATTGTGTTTGCGACAGCCGAGTTAATTACCTGGTACAGGCATCTTGACACGCCAGGTGTTGCCGGGCTGAGGACCCAGGTCTGTTCAAGGTTTTGTCAACGGTGCATTGCTGTCTGCCAGGAGGTCAGCTCCTGCACGTGGATGACAGCAGGGACACGTCCACTCTCCAAGGTCCTGTTGTACCTTTTTTTGGTCAGCTGCAGAGACCTGGGAATAAATCAAGCAATAAGTCCATAACAAAACAGATTTGCTTTTCTTTCTTTCCTTTTTTTTTTTTTTTAAGTTTTTTTGCCATAGAGCATGTGCACTTGTCAGAGAGAGAGACAGAGAAAGAAAAAGTGAGAAATCATGGCCCAGGGGGATGGTCATGCCACAATCCTTTCTCTTCCATTCTCCTCCAGAGATTTTGGGCATGCATGTACACATGCCTGGTGTCATTTTCAAGCTGCTGGGTCCAGGACTCGAACCATGGTCATCGGTGTTGGAATCCAACACCTTAACCACCATGTTACCTGCTGGTCCTCAGATTTGCCTTTCTTTGTATCCATTTCCTGAGTTTGCTTTTCTGTTTGTCAGAGTCATTTTTTTAGACCATTCCTGATTGATTATCCACTGGGACTGATTTTGTCCCAAGAGGAGACAGCTGGCCATGTTGGAGGACATCTTTGGTTGTCACAATGGAGGATGGTGAGGGGTTGTACTGACGTTAGCTGAGTAGAGGTCAGGGATGATGCTGAGGGACAGCCCCCCACCCCCAAAATGATCCTGCTGCAAATACCAAGAATGTGAAGGCAGAGATTACAGAAAGAGGACACCAGGAAAAAGAAAAAGGTCAATGAGCGTGGTCTTCCAAGGAACGTCTTCTATGCAATTCTGTTAGACATGCCGAAATCCGCTTTTCATCTCCAAATCCTACTCCTTCATCTGTTGTCATTAAAAATCATGATTTCTGGGGGAAGTTCTAAATGTTGAGTTAGCTTCCATAACCTCCAAGAAAAAGAATCTGAACTGGAATTTAATACCTGCCCATTCTCAACGTAGGATTGTCATTCCTGTACCTGAGGATGGTGTGCGTTCCATACACGTGCATCTAACCTTCCTCAATAGTTCACTAAGACTTTGCAAATGGTTACAGTAAAAACAATGACTGAAGGACCGGCAAGTGGCATGGTGGTTCAGGGTGCGGGACTCTTACATGGTCAACCATGGTTTGAGTCTCGCACCTGGCAGCTTGCTTTCTCACTTTCCCTCTCTCTCTCGCTCTCACTCTTGCTCTAGCCCTCTCTGGTCAAATTAAAAATAAATAATAAGCAAATAAATAAATACAGTTAAGTAAAATAATTATTTAAAAAAGAAAATAACAATGACTGCGTTTGCCATACCGCAGACTCTCGGATGCATCTGACCATAGAATCCCTCAGCAGGACAAACTCTACTTTTTCCAGTTCCATTATAATGATCAAATTACCCTGGCTTGCCCAGGGAGGTCTCAGTTTTAGGGCTGAAAGTCCATCCCAGGTCCTGGTCAACCCACATTTTATGGAAGTGGCTTTCCAAGTAATTTTTTTTTTTTTTTGGTAGGGTAGAGGGATGGAATTCTCATTGGCATGTCTCTCTGAAGGATAACTTGATGATTAGCATTTTCCCATTGGGAAAGTGAATGATTAAACATCTCTTGTCATGAAATAGACCATTCTTTATACACATGGATAAAGGAGAGAAGAAATCCTATCTTTTTTTTATATATATATAAGTTTTCACCCTTGCTGGAGAGACAGAGACAGAGACAGTAAGAGGGAAAGTGAGAAATCGCGCCCCAGGGTGGATGGCCATGCCACAATCCCTTCTCCTCCTTTCTCCTCCTGGGATCTTGGACACGCTCACACATTTTCAAGCCACCTGGTCTGGGACTCGAACTGCAGTCAGCCGTGTGGGAGTCCAGCGACATAACCACTATACCATCTGCTGGCCCCAAGAGATCTCATCTTTAACCATTAAATGTCACTATTCCAGATCGTTGTTTCTAATATATTCTAACGTACTCATTCTGAGATTAAAATGTATTTTTTTTAATCATACTCTACGAAGCTCAAGGGCCATCGGGCATCCCTCAGGGTAAGATTTTCGACAATTTAAAAACCTCTCTTGCATGCTGTCAGTACTGTAATGCCTTTTCCCATCGAATGAATGGTAGGGCACCACATTTCAGTAATAGCCCCGTGAATAACAGAAACCCACCAGGGAGATCCCTGAGAAGTCTGTCATTCTCACATGGACCCCAGAGGGGCTCATTCATTGAAATGTCATCTCATCTCAGTAATACCAAGGGGGCGAACATCTCTGTGTTAGAAACATCTCTTCAATGAGTTTGAATACCATGCACTTATGCACATGACAGAGAAGCTGCCATTGTAGTTTAAAAAAAAAAAAAACCATACACACACACACACAAATTCAGCATAGGTACTTTTCGGAAAATGGAATCAGTTGTATTTCTTAGTCTCTGTTTGCCTCTGCAGTTCTTATTTTATTTTTTTAAAAAAAGAATAATTTTATTTAATTTCATTTATTATTATCACTTTTAATATTTCCAGAGAGAGAGAAGGAAAGTGAGAAAGCAAGCCTCCAGGTCCAGGACTTGAACCATCGTCAACCGTGTGGGAGTCCAGTGTCCTTAACTATCACACCACCTGCTGGCCCCTGCCTCTGCATTCGAAGACAAGAAAAGCTGACGAATGTCAACACACTAACTTGAAAATCATCTCTGTGATATCAAATGTGTTATCCTTCATTCCAAAGTGTATCCACTCCACACATAGACAGAGCACGTGTAAATAAATGTGGGTATATGAGTTCAATTGATATGTGTATAAGAACGTAGAATTTGTACATGTGGGTGTGCGTACACCCAGGTACACACACCTAGACACAAATGCAGATAGATGGGCATTAGTAGAAATATGGATAGACAGATAGATAGATAGCTAGATAGATAGATAGATAGATTTAAAAAATAAAAAGAATTATTAAATTTAATTTAGTTTTCAAAAGATTTTTAAATTGAACCAGAGAGAGAAAACAAGACACAAGCCACCAGGTTTGGGACTTGAACCACCGTGGTAGACCAGGTGGTCGTACCTGGGTGGAGTGAGAGCTCACCTGGGCTCCTGGGCCCTGGCTGAATTCTCCCTGGCCTGGAAGCCTTGTTCCCCTCATGGCTGATACTCAAGATCGCAATGAATAAACATCCTCTCTTTTCCCACATAAGCAGAGAAGGAGGGTCTTCTGTGTGGAATTCATGTAGAAAACTAAACTATGATTCCACTTCATGATAGTCCCATTCTTTTTTTTTTTTCTTTTTTGGAGAGGTTTTTGCTATAGGGTGTGTGCGCTCTCCAGAAAGACAGAGACAGACAGAAAGCGAGAAATCACCCCCCTGGGGGGATGGCCATGTTGTAATCCCTTCTCCTCCATTCTCCTCTCAGGATCTTGGGCATGCACGCACACGTGCCCAGCGTGAGTTTAAGCCACCGGGTTTGGGACTCGAACCACGGTCGACTACATGGGAGTCCAGCAACATAGCCATTACACTAACTGCTGGTCCCGAGTCCCATTCTTTTTTTTTTTAAGAGATTGTTGCACTAGGGAGCGTGAGCATTTGTGAGCATCCTTGTGTTGTGGCAGAGTGGCTATTTGCCTAAGTCCAATAACACAACAGGATCTGTTGTTGCCTTGCATCTGAATTTGAATTCTTAGGGGACTTTGTACAAATAACAGCTTGGGTCCCAGACCTGGTGACTTAACACACGCACACACACACATCAGGCACATGGGTGTATGTGTGTGTGTGTGTGCCCAAAATCCCATGAGGAAAATGGAGGAGAAGCGATTGCAGCATGGCCATGTTCTCTGGGGGATGATTTCTCACTTTCTGACTCTCTGCCTATCTCTGTCTCTCTGGTGAGTGCACATACCCTATAGTAAAACAAAAACAAAAACAAACAAGAAAAACCAACTCTCTTTTTAAACATTTTTAAAATAATTGTTTTATTTAACTTTATTTCTTTATTTATTTTAATTTGACCAGAGAGAGAGAGAGAGAATGAGAAAGCAAGCCAACAGGTCTGGGACTCAAACCGTGGTCAGCCATATGGGAGTCCAGCGCTTTTAACCACCACGCCACCTGCCAGTCCTGCAATAAAAACTCTTTCCTTTTTTTTTTTAGAGAGGTTTTTGCTATAGGACGCGTGTGCTTGCCAGACAGACAGAGAGAGACAGAGAGACAGAAAGCGAGAAATCACCCCCTAGGGGGATGGCCACGCCGCAATCCCTTCTCCTCCATTCTCCTCTCGGGATCTTGGGCACGCACGCACACGCACCCGGTGTGAGTTTTAAGCCACCGGGTCCGGGACACGAACCGCGGTTGACTATGTGGGAGTCCAGCAACATAGCCATGACGCTAACTGCTGGTTCCCCAAAAAACCTCTCTTAAAAAAAGAAGTCTCATCACCTCCCACCTCCCAAAGCCATTACACTGGGGACCATGCTTCTAGAACATTAGAACATGAACCTTTGGGGGACCAACCATGATCCAGATCATAGCACTATCCATGTGCCTATTCTTTCTTCCAATCCAACTCCAAAGGCACCATTTCAAATGACCAAGTTGGCTCTTACCCAGCCCTCTAGAATCAGAATCGAATGTTACACTTGAGAATGAGAAACAACTCCGTCTGTTCCGCTCTTGAGGAAGTTATCCGATTTTGCTTTATATCACACACTTATTTTTCCATCTCTCCATGGAGACCCTCACTGGCTTGACACTCGCAACTCTATTTTATTTATCACTCTTTAGTGCAATATCTTAATTGATACGGACTTTTTTATAATGTACGAGAACACCGGTAAATGAATTAATGATGCCCAGAGTTGGGTGTTATGCCCCGGATTCAGTATGGGGGTAGTATGTGTGCTTGAGTTTGTTCTCTTAACTCATGAGCCGGGGTGGGGGGGGGAGTTCACTACATTTCTTTTTCAACCTTATTCTCAAAAGTTACAGAGGCACGCTATGATTCATCTTGACCTTTTCCAGTCCATGCATATGCATGAGCTCCTTGTCAATATT